GCGCCCCTCAGAGGGTGGCCTTACTTTGCAAGGGCACGTATATTTGGACTGCGGGTGCAGGACCCTTATTGTTTCCTCCAGCCTCGTCCGCCAGGGTGAGCGGGGCTGGTGGGTTGGTGTTTTCCTCTACAAACAGGACGCCAAGGCCTGGAATGCCACCGCTGTCTGCATCTTTGGGATGGAGGAGATGAAGGAACAAGCCTGTGCGTCCACGCACTTTGTCATGAATGGGAAGAGCTGTGTAAGTCTGGGCATCGTTTTGCTAAGCGCTTGTCCTGCATGCTGTGGTTGATGCCATCGTGGCTGGTGTCACTGTGCATGAGTCGTTAGGTGTCTCTGACCTGAAGGCACATAAAGTTCATTGAGGAACTTCAGAGCTGCGACAGGTTTGGCACATTAGCCGTGGTTCTATCAGCGCTAGTGATTCCTCCAGCGCTTTCTGTTTCTGAAAATCTGACCCCTTCCCAGATCCTGTCGTGTCATTCCCACCTACATCTTGGGAAAGACACATCTGAGGGAACACCTGATGGCATCCTGGGTTGGGCCTGAGTCTCAGGCTCACCACTCCATGTGCCCTTTTCTGGCAAGGATTAGTTGTACTTCACTGTATTTTTCATACAGCCTAGATAAAGCATTTCCTACCTTATTCTGTGCATTCATATCTCATGTCATTGCAGCTACATCAGAAATGAAAAAAAGCCCATCAAATTGACTCCTGTGCACTGAGCTGTGTGCATTGTTATCCCCATTGCTCACTAGTTATTTATGGTTGCTTGTTTGGTGGTAGGTGTTTCCCAGACCTCCCAGGATTGGCCCTGCTCAAGAGGGCTCACAGCCACCCACCTCCCCAAGCTCCTATGCAGAGCAGGCAGAAATAGGCACTATTTGTTGTTGTGGTGGTTACATTGTTCTTGTTGTGGTTACATTTTCCCAGGCAGTGCTATCCCATGGAGAGCCCCTGGTCATCTACTTCTGTAACACGCTCTCTTCATCTACTTCCTCTTTTTGAGGGTGAGCTGTGCACATGGAGGGCAGGCAGGGTGGGCAAGGCTACCAGCTTTGCTGTGGCCTTGGTAAATAGTAAAGAAATGAACTAAAAAATAAATTCAGGAAGCTAAAAATATGATTCAGGCAAAGAAAGTATTCTTGCAAGGCCTGTCTGTGCTTTTAAGTTACACCAGAAGTCTTTTCAGAGCTGTGGCTGAAGGAGCAATGCTGGAAAATGTCAGGGAGAATGATAGGTGATCAAGCAAGCTATCATGAGGCAAGCCCTGGCCTTTTGCAGTTACCCCACCATTAAGGCACTTTGCAGCTTAACCTCTGAGTCCCTGCTGTGTTACGATGGGAGTTTATCGAAAACTCCTTGGAAGATATGCGGTAGATGTACTGTCACTCCTTGGTTTCCCAAATCTAGCCCATAGCAGAGCACAGTGCTGAGATTCTTCCAAATACAAACTGCAGGAGGGCACATGTGAGTCGGTGTGCTCATCTCCCTACTGAGCTGTGAGACTGTTGCCAGTGTTAGAGGACATAGTTATGAATGAGAACCCCATATGTGGGTGAAACAACTGTGCTGAAGTAAATAATGAAACTCTCTGTTGAGAGCTGGAGCCAAACCTTTGATTTACAGTGCATTTATAGCTTACTGCATGATTTCTGTGCTTTCACAAGGCAAACTTGTGAGAAGCTTGAAGTCTCATCCCAAAATACCTATTTGCTAGCTGGATTTTTAATTTGCATTATTTGTTCCTAATTACTCATGGAGTTTCTTCATGAGGTGCTTTCTGAGCTTGCAAACCAAAAAATAAAAACCAGAAGAGTCTCATGGATTTCACAGAGTAACAATGCAGGTAAAGATAAGGTGGGTATTTCTGTCTGACCAGTGTTCCTTTCAGTCCCCCATTCCCATTGCCTCTCAGTGCCTGAATATCAAAAATCAACAATCCACTTGCTTATGGATTAGTCTGATTCAGATTAGACTCCTGTAACTCCAGAGTTACTTTAATGTCCCAAAAGGCTCGTCCCTTCTGGAAGCGTAGATTATATTTGGGTACACTACTGATTAATCCCAACTGTAAAAGGATTGTTTGCTTAACATTATGTCCCTAACTATGGTGATGTTACTAATCATGATATTTTGGCACAATAAATACAGTTTACCGCTGACAGGGAAGATAGATTTTGTGAGATAGAAGGACATCTGGGTGTTGTGTAGTAATATGGCCTGTAACATTATGTGGCTAATTAAGTTCCCTTTTAAGCTAATTGTATGTGCTTATGGTGTATAAACACAGAAATAAATGCATGTACTTCAGCTTTAATATGTTTTTCATACTACAGAAGGTTAGGCTAGGCTATTGCAGAGTAAGTTTGGAGATGACAGGCCCATATGCTGCTTCTTCTGAGTTGTTTAGACCAGATTCTTCTACTGTCTCTCACCAAATCATGGGAGTCCCTGCAAATGTGGAACATGTTTATTTTGGACTCAGAAGCGTGCAGGCTTCAGAACTGGCAGGAGGTTGGTGTGCAGCACATCTCTATCAGTGCACAGGTTGTGGACAAAGTGTGTGCATTAGCTAGCAGTGGCTCTGGCCAGAAAGGAGTGCCTTGTAGTACAGAGCTGTCATGAGTACGTTATAGTACGATGTGTAGGAATGGCAGCAAGCAACAGTACTGAACGTGTGCTTTGAAGACCAGTCTTTTAAAGACAGTGTTGGGACAGAGCAAATGAATGTGTTGCAGTGCTATGATTGCCTGGGATGTAAGACCTGTTCAGTGTTTGTCGTGGGTGGATCATGCTGAATGTCAGCCTGACTTTTGCATTTCAGATGCCATGTGTTGTAGGTTGCTGCAGGTCTTAGTCTTCTTTGCTGGGTACACTTGAATTCTGGAGCTCAGGTGATGTGATGAAGTACACGGATCACAGATGCAGTCTGTCAGTTTATGTAGGAATTGAAAACAAATGTTTTTCACTGCAGGAATAGTGTGTAGTCAGAGTATAGTATACATTAGAGAATAGTGGCACTTTGTTCTCCTTCTGATGTTGTCGTTCTTCAGATTTCTGCAATTATTCTGATTACCTTTAGGCAAGACATCCTCTTACCAGTCTGCACTTACACAGCTGCTTATATTTGCACTGTGTTGGCACTGTGTGTTGGCGCTCTGCTTCTCAATAGTACAGTGCAAGAGGGACTTAGCCCAAGGTATCTGTGGTCCTAAATTCCCTGCTACACTACTACTGTATGTTCTACTCCAACTCATTACTGTAAGGTACTGAGCTTCCTGGCCCTAACCCAATAAAGCACTTAAAGGCATATTTAACATTAAGCATATAAGTAGTTCCATCATCTTCGTGCCCATGCATTTAAAGTTAAGCATGAATTTGAGTACCTCACTGGATTGGAACCAAATTGCTCCACATCCTGTAGGAACTTACTGTAGGTGTGTAATCTCTTTAGCCTCACATTGCTACTTAGGCCAAAGTTGACAGTTGCATGAAGTTTTAGTGCTATATTTGAGTCTGTTGTTGAAAATTTATCATTTTTAAGATTCTTGCTTATCAACTTTATCAAAAAGTATGTGACTGCTACAAATTCTGCTCCCTATGAGAGCTAATTAATTTTGGTTTTGTTCCATGCAGTAGTATGCACAAAGCATTTTGTCCTAGTTGGATGTGTTTATTCCGGACATAGAGAGTACTGGATTCCCAGAGACACGATCCCTAACTAGCAAGAGGCAGATGGTGTCTTAGATGAAACTACTTTGAAAACATTTTGTGGTTTCATTGTCAGTTTGTTTTCCTCTGTTCCACATCTCTTAGTTTGAGTACATCTACGTACATGCATTGTTGAAGTAGAGGTGTTAATGGACTCTCTAGTATGACCTGCGTGTACATAAGCGCATCTTCCTCACAATTTCCCTAGTTAATAAATGTGAATTTGCCAAATCTCATTCTCCATTTTTTTCAGAAAGCTGACTGAGTACTAACAAATATTTTTGGTCAATCACAATTGTGAAATTGAAGCTCCTTAGTCAGTACATAGGAGGAATGCTGGAATTAGCCACGAACATGCTTCAATAGCTAGTGAACTTTAAGAAAAAGTTGTCTTCTGTTCCAGGGCTGAATGGGAACTACTAGAATCTCTTATCTCTTACAGACATCCCAGGATCTTGTGGATCACAGCCAAGCAGACGAGTAGGAGAAGCGCTCAAATTAGAGGACATCAGCAGGAGGGAGTTGTAGGATGTTACCTAACCACAATGACAAATCTGGAAATTAGTTTTGCCATTAAAAAAAGGTTGCATGGGAAGAAAAGGATTCTGCAGTTTTTCAGGGAGAAAATAAAAAAAGTGTTAGGCGTATACCTGTTGCTGTAGCTAATATCAAAATGTTTATTTTATGATGTGCAAAGGCTACGTAGCTGTGACAGTTACTAAATGATAAGCTGTCTTGGTTGGATTTTCATCTGCTATTTAATATAAGTAAAGATATGTAACAGTCTGTTCTTTGATTTTTTGCATTTTTCAGTGGGCGATAAGTATGTGGGTTGGTATATGCCCCTTAATTTATTGAGCATAGTTTGGAATCCTAGGACAAATCTTAGCTGTTAAAAGCTCTACTGAAGTGAGATTTTGAAATCAACAGAGTCACATCAGTTTAATCACGGCCATTAATTTTCAGGAATGACATTTGAATTTGTGTGGTAACTCATTCCAAAATGATTCATGGTCTTTTATTTAAGGAAAGAATTACAGACTTCTAAATATCATTTGGTATCAAAATTGATTCTGTAATTAATTTCCTAGCAGCAAAGTAATCTCCTGTGTATTACCAGACTGCTAGTATTTCATCTGATGTTTGATAGATTTCTAGAGTTAATGTTTCTGATTACAGTTCTGTCTGATTACAATTAGTTTTCAGTTCATCCCTGTTTGGTGTGAGAAGTAAACCATAGGAGACTTTTGAACTCTCACAGTGTCAGTAAGAAGAGTTGCTTTTTGTCATCTGGCTTCATTAAATGTTCTTAGTGGAAACTTCTGACCGCCTGTGACTTCTTGAACAGCAGATTTGCTTCCTTGGAATCACAGAGTCTTTCAGGTTGGAAGGAACCTCAGAGGAGGCCTCCGCTCCAGCCCTCTACTCACAGCAAGGTCAGCTCTGAGATCAGGCAAGTTTGCCCTGTGTTTTGTTCTGTTGGATCTTGAAACCTCCATGGATGGAGACTGCACAACCTCTCTGGA